AAAAAAAAAATAAACGATGTTTATATGAACTAATTTTTTCTTCCTCTCCTCTGCTGATTTTTGGAATTCCAGTTTTTCGTCTTAGCATAACCGATTAAACTGAAAGACGGCACCAGCGACTGTCGCTATCTTAAAGCTGAAGTACATGTCACACAAAGTTTGTCTGTCGTTCAATTCTTTGGTATCAAATGGTTAATGGTGTATTCAAATATGTAATAAACTGTTCTTCAGAGTCTTCTACATCACCAGGCCAAAATAATTCGGTCGTATTTTATTCTTGATACATTTACTAAATATTTTTTTTGCGGTCATTGAAGTAACTGTTTCAAACTGACACTAACAGAATTTAACTGTTGTGCAGGTTCGCTTATTTTACAAATAAAATCTTATAATGCTAAATTTTCTTCAAAACATTTTAATAACATGTTCAATAGCTTAATTTATTAAGATCTTTTGTTTCTTATTATTAGTTTCTACTAACCCTGTATGATGTTCATTTCGCAGTTCAGCTATTAAGTTCAACTACAACTTAGCAAAGACAAAACTGTTGTGTCACTATGAAATAACACACTCACATCATTTATCTATTACCAAGTACCAATAGCTGAATGAAAGAAAAAGGAAACTTTGTCAAAAGCAAAAAAAGTAAATGATAACAAAAAACTGTTGCAGTAACAGCGAATTCAACCTTATTCTGTCTGCATAGACTGCTGTTGAAAACGTCTGTAAAACTAAATATTATGCCAACTTTTTTTTAGCTGTTAAGTTGATATTTTCAACAAAAACTCTGCCTGAATAGTTAAGAATCATTAGTAACACTAACAGTTGCTTTGTTTTTCCAAGAACAGGATACATAAGGAAAGATTTGTGAAAATTTGTCTACGACGGTTAAGATCAATGAAGACAGATTGAATAAAAGCCAGAAATGAAAGATAAAATGAATGTGTTAAGGATAAGAGAACGCGTTGTCTTTCTAAAATCTTGACGAGATATGTGTCGACACTTCTGAATGATTTGACTCTGCTACTTTGATCTTTCAGCCTTTACTTGCTGCTTATCATTGTTTTGCTGAATTAATCCACGTCTGCAATTGTATTGACTCATTATTGAAATGACGCCATTTGTGAGTATAATTCATTGAAAAAATACAGACTCTGCAGGATCGTCGCCAAACAATTGGATTTGGTGTAGTAGAACACTTCGTTCTGATTTTATATCGCCTAAAAGCTGCAATATTTGTTTAGTTCCAGGCTAAAAACATTGGCTGTTGATTTTGAGATCTTATTCTTGATATAACAATGGCGTTGACTAAGCTGAGCTTTATGAGGAAATGATCGTTGTTTAACAAAACGAGGCGTCTTGGTTGATTTGCCCTATCTTCTGCTAGACATCGGCAATCGATTTTGTTTATCTGCGTATTTTTTTAGTCAAATACTTTTTTTAGTAGCTTTTGTTGGCGTTTAAACAAAACAGCAGTTGAATAATCAGCGTTATAAAGTAAGAATGTTACTTCGGTTTAAATGAAAAAAAAAAAAAAATGATTTCTTGAAGTTTCATTGGTGATAGAACTTTATAAAATTTCCAGTCGTTAGTGCTGTCATTGACGTTGTTTGCTGTAACTGTTGTTTTTACTGAGGTTTGCAGTTAATCAGATCTGCATTTTTTGAATATTCTTACAAAGTTGGTATGATAAATTTTTGATATGCCAAAACACTGTTTTTAAATTTGTCAACAAACTGGCGGTAAAGATGAGTTTAGTGGTCTAAAAAATTTGTGAATTCTATGTATTATTTAAGGTTTTTCATTTGAAATTTCTGCTAGCTGTGTTGACACTGAAAATTGAAAAACTATTTCTATTAGTCAGCTTAGTTTTTTTCTCTCAAATTTGTGTGAAATGAAAGAACAGTTTGGTTAACTATTAATTCAGTGGGCTGTTTAAAAATTTTTGAGTGATAAGTTTGATTTTTTTTTGTTAAATTCAAAAAAGATCTTGTTGTTTTTTCATTTCAATTTTAATTTAATTGTTTCACATTAGTTTAATAGTCTTAACTTTATCAACTGTATCAAAATTGTTGAGATTTCTTTTCACTTCTTTAGTTAAAGCTGTTTATGAAATTTGGAAGCTTGAATTAAAGCAACAGTTTCTTCTACTGTACTATATTTTTGTATATTTGTGTTTGTATCAGTAAAGTTTGTATAGTCAGAATAACCGATTAAAAACTGTAAATTTGGATTTATTAATTTCTATTATACACTGAAAGCTATGTTTTGGCCCCTATTTCTGCCACTGATTTTTCTGTCAAAAAATGTGGTTTGCAATGATCCAACATTAAGTGCTCGGGTGACAACTGCAGGATTACAATTTTTTAGTGGTGTTGGCCATTTTATTGTAAGTTTAGTTTACCCTACACATTTATTCATTTTTTTTGATAATCTTTTTTTTTTCAGCTTGACAACTACATTTTTGATTTTATGAAAGTGTAAAGCTTCATTCAGGTAAATTATGAAGTAAAAAAGATAACATTCCCAGAAATATCAATACCAATTGATGCTGGAATTGGATCTGGAAATGTAAAAATTGAAGGACTAGAATTGAAGCATTTTGTTTCACCGTTATTTACCTTTAAACTCGCACCACCAGACGGTATTGCTTGGAAGTCACAAGATGGAACAGTTGAAGTTACCGGCTATTGGTTTGCTGTGTATAAGATCATCTTTCCAGTACTGTTAACTTTAATCACTGCTTAAGCTGATCACTTCATTATTGTTTTTTCTTGCTACATATCTTTCAATTTTAATGATAACAAAAAATTTCTTCAACTTTTTCGAAATTGCTTGTGCTTTTCCTTTTTACAACGGTGTAAAACTTCTACTCTCTACAGATTTACTTATCTGGAACGGTGCGAGCGGTGGCTAAAGATATACGACTACTTCTACAGGCTCAAATTTTTGTCAAGGATAATCATCCACAAATTAGCATTGATACATGTAACACACATCTAATGAATTTAGACGTTGATGTTGCCGGTGGTCTTATTCCATGGATTGTCAATCTGTTTCGCTCAGATGTTTCTCAGATCATTAAAGAAGCTATCAACAAACAAGTGCATTAGTTGTTTCTCTATAATTTCACTTTATTTTTGTATGGAAGTTTCTGCTTTAACTTTTCATGTACAGTTTTTGATGAAGAATTTAGAAATTTGCGTTTCAGTTATGTAATTCGCTGAAAACTGATCTTTTAAACGCAGCCAACAAAGCTTTAATGTCATTACCGATGCGGTTGAAAGTGAAGAATCAGATTCACGTAAACTACTTATTTCTTGTAAGTTGCATATCTCTGATTTTTAGCTTATCAGTCAAAGCATATTTTCCTGATGATATTTCGTAACTACTACTAGCGGTATTTACAACTGTAGAAAGTTTAAAAAAAAATTGGTAGTGCAGCAGGTTTGTTTTGGTGTTATAAAGTTTACGATTAAATGCTTATTCTTTTGGTATCTTATATAATCTTGCGTGAAATAAACTGAGAGTGTTTTATGCTGTAGAAAAATCCAATAGCGACCACAGACTATATCGAAGGTGAAGTTTACGCCGATGTCGTTTACGGTGATACCACATGTTCACTGGAGCCCAAACCTATAAAGAAAAGTTAGTCTTCAGGTCTAACTGCCTTGATCTTTTTTCAGTAGATTTAAGGAGCTCTGAAGAGAACATAATTGGTAGGGAGGAAATTGAAATTTCCGAAGAAACTGCGAAAAGAAATCACACTTTTTAAATATAATTAATTTACTTTAGCTAACAGTTTCTAGTGTGTCATCACCAAATTATAACTTCTGAGAGAGTTCAGAAGTTACCTTTTTTCTTGTCTTATATCAAAATTTGCGAAACTTTCCTTTCTTTGCTTGACCTGAATTTGATTCATAGCATCGTACTGTTTTATTTTTCAGCTGAACCGATTGAGGAACGAATGGTACATTTCTGGGTGTCTGAACATATCCCAAACTGTTTATTCTATTCTGCTCATCAGAAGCGTCTACTGTCGTTCACGGTAACTAAGGATAGCGATAAAGGGAAACTTGAAAAATTTTTATCTACGAGGTTGTCTATTATAGTAAATCTATTTCTCTATTCATATACTCTATCCCTTGAATGATTCTACTTAGAGAAGTTTTGTAATTATTTGAAAGTTATGAAAAATTTAAAAATTTTATGCTTTTTTATTATTTAATTCACAGTTAACAATTTTGAGCAGAAAATAATATAAATCGCATAGTCTATTGGTCTAGAAACTGAAGTATCTTGATTTGCCAAAGATAATTTGAAGTTTTTTACACTGTTTTCTCTTACTCTTAAGGATTTGCGAAATTATTTCACTGAATGTTTAGATGGTTCCTTCATAAGTTCTCATAAAAAAGTTTTTTAATCTAATTTTAGTTGTTCAGTGCTTTCGCTCTGTATTGGTCGGTTGATACCGGAACTAGGTCGCAGATTTCCTAATCAACATGTAGATTTTTTCTTTGGTACAGCTACGGCACCTTTTCTTAAAATGATGAGTAATGGCGTCTCATTACGTTCGATTCTAAACCTTGACGTATATCTCTCTCCATGGAAACAACAGACTTCAAGTCTTGCTCGATTAGGTAGGCACTTATGTTTGGTGCATCCAGTTAAAGGCTTCTTATAATGTTCCAAGGAAACTTTTTCTTTTTATTCATCTTTGAGGCAGATGGGAAAGAACAGATGACTTTTTCTTTTTACCTATGAAAAGTTTTTGCCATAACAACAATGGCGCTTAATTACGTCAATATTACAGAAGTTAACATGACCGCAATGATTGAACCAAGGCTGGTTAACGACAGATTAAGCGGACATCTGAAGAACATCACGATTGCAATTAAGGAAAAAGAAAGTAGAATTGGACATTTTAGCGACAGGTGAAAGCATACTAAATACCGGTAGCCAATTTTTTAGAATTTAAATGGTGTTTAGAAATGAACTTCAAGAGTTTACTCCATAATACTACTATAAGGGTACTCTTGAAACAGCTCCAAATTTTTATCGCTCTGAGTGGAAGAGTCAAAGGTTTTTTTAATAAAAAGCATCTAACGGGTAAAGAAAAAAAACAAATTTTGCTCTATGGGCGACTGTCTGTTAAGGATTCTTTGCGTATCTTTGCGTTTAATGGGTGGGGAAAGTTCTAGAACACATATAATCTTATTTCATTAATTAAGGCATAATTATTTGATTTTCTTGGCTTAGGTTTATCCGTATCTGCGGACAAATAATATCACAAGCGATCACAGCGTTTGGTGAACCTCTGCTGGCAATTGGTGTTCATTTGCCGCTTGTTGATAATATAACTTTGTCCAATAACGCGTTAATTACCACTGAGTTAGAACACACCCGCATCGACTCAGACTTCGTCTACGTCCATTAGGGCGTCTATTATTAATCACACGTTGTCTTAGTTTTATTGGTGTTCGTTTGCTTACATCTTTGTTTTTCTTTCTGTTTGAGCAGTATTTGATTGTAATGTTCAGCATTTTACTAAGTGATGACGGGTTTCACATTTGAATTTTTATGCCTTCTAGTAGATATTATGTACCTCTGTAGTTCACAGTTTAGTTACGTCCTTTAAAGTATTCAGATTCAGTTAAAAGAATTTATTTCAATGGGTTTTTCGTTTGCGGTTTACTGTATTGCAAAAAATGGGTAAGATGTGTAATCTTCTTCAATTATATTGTTTGAAATTACTGTGGACAAGTAATATCCTTACTGTGCTCTTTCCTTACCTTCTTCTTTTCTTCATGAACACAATAATTTCAAAAAATACGCTTGGAAAAAGTGCGCTTTTTGTTTTTAAACATATGAAAGTAATATGACACTAATCTTTACTAGAAATTTTTTAATCAAATTTTCCAATTCTTTCCTGAAGAAAATAACAGTGAAGCGTCCACCTAATCTATTAATCAAAACTAGAAAGGGTAGAGAACTAAAAGAAAGTTAAGTGCATCAAATGGACAAATCCATCAAGATGTTGCAGCCGTTATATATCACGGCGCTCATTTTTTACTTTACATCTTTTATCTTAACTTTGGATTAACTAAAGCAAAAAGAAAACTGTTCAACGTTAACGGTTGTTCTTTAACAGGATGTTCAATTTTAGAGTTTTAGATGTTTGCGATTATTCTAGAGATGAACGGTATTAACGGAAAGTCTGTTAACATCACCGCAAAATTGCATTGAGTTTGCTGAACAAAGCTCTTATTTTTCTGCTAATAAACAGTAGACAAAAGGAAAAACTTTTTGACCTTGAGCTGCAATTTTTTGTATTTGTATTTTTTGGATTAAAACCGAGGTGAACGGTAGCAGGTGCTGAATGATAGGGCTCCTTCAGAATCACGTGACAGGAATTCTATAGTTCTCAGCTTCACTGTGTGATAAACTGTGTCACGGGAAACTCACCTTTTTTTCTGCAAAGCAACAATGACTGTTGCAAGTCTGCATGAAACAATAGAGGTATTATACAATATCCATAAAATAAAAGTAATTGAACAGAACTTTTTGTACAATCCAGACGGCTGCGATGGAGTGCTATTCAAGGAATACAAAAAGTTGGCAGTACACGTAATGATACATCAGTAATCAAAATGCTATTTAAGCAAAGTGTAGAAAGCTTTCAGTATGACTCCAGTGAAAAGTTTTCTTTAGGAACATTCCTCTAAGTACACTTTGCGGCCCTTTCTCTTGTTACCCGCTCTCTTCGGCCACGGAGTCACCTGTTGCATTTTTTTAAAGCAACTATTGTTTCTCTATATCTTATTGCTACTTTCACGCGAAGGCGAGCAAATTCATGCACGGTAAGATTATTGTTAGTTTCGCTTTTTAGAAACCTAGAGCGCTAGTCGTAGTGTTTTGCTGTACGTATTATTTGTATCTGGTGTTTTTACTGGTGTTCATGAAGTAACTTACAAAACAGGTGTTTATATAACGAAACAGGTGTTTACATGTCTGTTTATATAACTGTATATAACGACTGGCTTAGGCTTAAACTTAGACTTAGGCTCAGACTCTGGATTTTCCCCCCCCTAAGTCTAAGCCTTAGCTTGAAATTGAGCTTGAACCTGCACTTGAGCTTGAGCCTAAGCGTAAGCCTAAGACTAAGCCGTATATCCTGAAAGGTTCTCCTGCCTTATTTCTGGAGGAAATGAGTAGTCCTTACAGAACTCAGAGATACCATACCCCTAATACTTAGACATATAACCAACGTACAACATATTCACAACATTACTCTACTTAACTACATAACTAAGTCACTCTCTAGTTCCAACTTTGAAGTCTGTAGTCTTATTCTTAAAGCTTGTAATTTGAACTCTATGGTTTGCATTCTCAATTTATGTTATATACGCTGCGGCCGAATCAAAAAGAAGTGTAAGTCCCATGCCTAATTTAATGTATTAATACAAGTTTAAAATTAAGTTTAAACCTAGGCTCAATCATATGCACGCATTTTCTCACCTAAATGAATAATATACACGTACTCCAGCTCTTTTTTAGATCTACATAGTTTATAAATTGTTCAGTAATTATATACACCTTCTTTTAAGTTCATATATCCAAGTTAATTACGGTATGTACCGTTTCATAATTTATAGATATCATTATACCGTATTATAACCTTAACCGATTACATTACTTTACAGTAATCGATTTCATTTAAAATATTCCCTAACGTCAGAGTTATATTATCACTACAACGCCATATACTCAACGCCACAATAAAAATGTCTCAGGTTAGTGACATCACCATTTACATATGTCTTGACCATACGTCTATTGACTCCTTACCTTATTTTTAATAATTCTTTAAATTTTACTAACCCAATATATACAACTAATACTAAGTTAAGATCTCACGATAGATTTCACATTTAAATCTTCTGGGGATATGAGTGTATTCATCTGCATCCGCTGATGAGGTCCTCGGATGGCTCTACATTCATACCTCTTAGGGTAAGCAGTTGTCCGGATAAAGGACTGAAGCAACTGCTGTGTATAATGCATTTTGTCTAGCCTCAACATC